CCAGGGTCGACCCTAAAGCCAAGTAATCCTATAGGGACTCTTTTTTTTAATTCTCTTATAATGATCTTACCTACTAAATGCTAGAGGTTAAGATCAATATGTGGAATTTCAAGCTGAGTAAAAAGAAGAGTTTTGAATTTCTAATGGTGGGGTACCTCTTCTAATTTTCTAAGAGTAGTCAATAGGAAAACCCTATGGCTAGACCTAGGCTACTAAAGAAGTTTTCTAGACCTCAACCAAAAGTGAGGTCAACAAAGCCGAAAAAAGGGAGCCCCGTGTTGGTGTCTGCTGAGTCTTTGTTGTTTGTGAAGTCCATTAGACTGTAGAGAGTTTAATTTAGGGTTAGTATTGTGAGGAGTTTGTAGAGATATTGTAAGATTGGAGGGAAAGTGAGAGATTTCTTCCTCCTTGCCGCTTCGAAGAAGAATTCTGTGTGCTGTAAAGAAAGGAAGAGATTCAAAGGAACTTCAAGGAGTTTTCTTGTGGAAGAATTAGAGACAAGTGGTATTTACTTATTGAAATTTGTATAACTTTGTTTTTATATATAAATTTCAAGTTGTGTCGTATCTTCTCCATGAGTTCTGAGTAGTTTTCTTTGTCTTTCTCATTGTCTTGAGATTTTGTGAAATGGTGATTTGAATTAGTTGAGCCATGAGAATGTTAAAGAAGTTGTGATGATCTTTTTACTTTGATCTTAATTTACTTTCAATCTGGCCAATTGATTTGTTAAAATATGTTGAGTTTTATAACTAATGTGAAGATTACATCCAAGATTTAGGGAGGTTAAAGTTCTTGAAAGTTGGGTGCAAATAAATAGGGAAATAAAATTATCGGGCGTAGAATTGGAGATTTTAGAGTGAAAGACTAAAATCTTCAATTTGGTCCTGTCGTTTGGGTGTTGAAGTGTAGATGCTAGCCCTCAGGCGAGGGGAACGTGGGAGCTCCGAAGTGAGAGCCGGCATCCACCCAGCTTATCTGCAGATTCAATAACCAAGCATAAGATTAGTCAATGTTCTTTATGCCTAGACCAAAGGGTAACCAAAGGGTAAATAATAGATTGACACAATCCAATTTGAACTAATTCACTTTATCCATTCACTTTAATTTCTTAACAAGGAGAATTCACATTCACTTTAATTTCTTAACAAGGAGAATGATGCTTTCTTATATATTGAACTTCACATTAAAAACTTTATTATTAGAATTAGTTAATTAAGAGTTTGTTAAAATTACATATTTATTTCAATTGCCTATTAGTGACAAATAAGCAATTTGAACTTTATTGTTGTGATTAAGTATTGATTTTCTAAATCTTAGTTCATAGCCTCTAATATTACTCCCTATGGGATCAATATCCAGGAGAGCCATAGAGCCATGTATTACTTGAGCGATACATATACTTGAGTTGATAAGTGTGACTTTGCAATATTGAATATTTTATACACATCTTTATCAAGTCTATCACCGCTGTCAAGTTTTTGGCGCCGCTGCCGGGGAATTTAATCTTCTAGCAGCAATATCAAATTCTTATATTTTTAAGCATATATAAAGTCGTTGTCATGCTACATAAACTATCTATGTGGTGTTGAATCCTGATGTGCCCATGAGTACATCATCTAAGATAGAACATTCAAAAATCGAGAAGAAAGAAGAAAAGATAGGAAGCTCCAAAATTACTACAAAGTATACAAAAATACAAGAACGTGCAGACATTGTTCGGGTATGAAAAGCCAAGCCCAAGTTGATTAGTGCATGAGTTATTTTAACTTTTGACCTTAATGGAGAGTTGATGCAATTAAATGTGAATTATACTAGGTTTTGTCATCCTGATTGCACAATCATGTTTGACTTGAATCTTTTTATTTTTTATTTTTTGGCTCTTGTTAACCTAATCATATTATAAGATTTGTGTTTTTAGGGTATATGAGAATGCATATTTGATTTCTTATTCTCTTCTCATTGTAATTTGACTGAAAAAAGGGTGAACTAATAGTATTGGGTAATCATTTAATATATTAGTTTTGTCGTATGACAAATGATTGACATGGCCTAAGATTCTTCTCCATATCTTATAAATTTGGAACTAGATGTCATGATGTTGGTTTAAGTTCATTCAACTTATCAATTTTCATGTCACACTAACACATGAGTTGACACGGGGGTTTACCTCCTTCCTCTTCCCTCATTTCCTTTTACCATTTTTCCTTTTTTTGGCTTACTTTTCTTTCTAGGCCTTTTCTAATTTAAAACATTTCATAAAATTGAATCTGATTTTTATTCTCCTTTTTAATTTAAAACCTTTCCAAAATTTTAAATCTAATTTAAAACATTTCCTAAAAGCTGAAATTCAATTTTTATTTTCCTTCCTAATTTAAATCCTTTCCTTAGATCTAAAATCTGAATTTATTCTCCATCTTATTTTAGTGTTTCAAGATAATTTATGTCTCTTTATAAATAGGAGAGGATCTGCTTTGAGTTAGGGATTGCTTTATGAAATATAAATTGAATTTTGTCCGAGTGTTTTCTCTCTTGAGGGATGTCTCCAATGTCTAGGTAGTGTTACGATTGTCCCTTATCCGATGTGGTGATTGTCTCCACGGGTTTGGGTGGTGCTTCGGCTGTATCTCGACTTCGCTAAGAAATTTATCTTGTCATACTTCTCTTCTATTGTAGTTCCATCTTACAACCCTCGCAACTCCTCTCCTACAGTCGCCGATCCATCTCCTCACCCCTCAGCCTCTTCTCTATAGCTGTCACCTCCCAACTCTCCTACAACAACCACAACCCTCCCCGACAACTGTCGTTCCATCTAACACCCCCACAACTCCTCTAAAGCTGTCGTTCCATCTCCTAGTGCCCGCAGCTTCTCCCCTAAATTTTCCAGCCACCTCGCGACTCTTTACAACCCCAAAGCTCCTCCCTTCAACTATCAACCACCTCCTAACTCTCCTATGACAATCATAGCCTTCACATAGAGCTGTTAGCCTCCTTCCAAGTCTCTTTTTGCAACCACAAACCCCTCCCCTACTGCTGTCAGCCCTACTACTTCCCTCAGGACTTCTTCTAGTAGTTGTCTACCTCCTCAACCAACCTTCAACAACCCATCTAACTTGTCACAACACCCGATTGACTCTCCCAGCAGTTGCTTACCCCAACCTTACTGCTTCCCTCAATGACCCTTTGAGTCTTTGTTTTCATTGAATTTAACATATATATTTCATTTTAGAAAAACTAGTATTACTTACATTTTTAGTATGATTTAGGCTCCTTTTGGGTATAAATTAAAAATATAATTTAATTATTAAATTTATAAATATATAAAATTTTTGTGGTATGTAAGAAAAAAGAAATAAATCTAAATAAACCCTACTGCAAACCACCACAAAGATGTTTTCGTTGCCCAACGCCTTACCAAATCTTGAAATCTCCTCTCTTCCCTTCGTTCATCCTTCTTAGCTTTTACTCTAACCAAGAAAAGCTTTCCTTTTTCACTATTGAAGAATCAACAAGCACGATGCTTCCCTTCCTTCCTCCTTTTGCGAACCAAAAGCCGGTGCAACGACGCAACGATCCACCTCCCAATCTTGTAAATCCTTTCTATATCCTTTTTTTTTTATTTCCTTTAATTTCTCCAACAATTGAGTTTCATTAATCTCTTTTGAATTGTTAACAGTTTACAAGTTCCTCAAGCGCCCTACCCAACCAATTCGGCTTCAACAATCCTCAGATGTTGATGCCAGCGATGGGGCGCTTTAACAACCAGAACGCGTTTCTGAGCTTGCTTACGCAGCAGCTTATGATGCAGGGACTGCAATATACTCTTATGGGCTCTCTTTTGCAGCAGGGGATGATGCCCCAGTTGCCAGGGCAGCAGCTTAATTTGCTTAGTGCTCACTTCATGTCTTTACAGCATGGGGGACTTTTAGGCCGGCCACCTATGGATCAGAATCTGAACCAGATGTTGGGATTTTCAGCATATGGATTGTTAGGCTTACAAAGCCTTATCTTTCCTCCTAATACTCAGTATCTTTCCTCCTAATACTCAGTAATACTCAGTTACCAGTGATCGGCTCTGGTAATTCCAATCCTGTTTTATTGAGAAATGGCAGCACAGTGGTTGGGCAGAGATCGAGTAGTTCGAAAGGGCTTGAAACACAGATAACCAGACGGAAATCACAAAAACCAAATTTGCCAGGTCCAGTGCAGAATAGTAAGTCCAACAATGGACGCCAGCGGCTACAGGTAGCCATCATCCGCATTTTCTTACCCCTATGATGGTATTCATTTAGCTTTAGTAATAATTATGAATGCCATTTGTTATTGATGGTAACTTATCTTTTATCTCGTAATCCCTCCAAAAACGCACATTTATGCAAGAATTAATGCTTGTTGCTTTTTACATTCATATGCACAAATTTGTTATGTTCCTGGCTGTTTATGCCAACTGAAATTTGTCCATTTGGGTATGGAAGTGGCAGGAGCAGGGGATTGGGATTAGGGATTAATGCCCTTCCCACCTTATTCTTACATCCTTACTAAAGCGATTCTTTTTGGTCTTCTTTGTTGTTTTATCATTAGACTGATGTAATCTTCTTTCACCATGCGAACTGAAAATGAAGTATTTTAAATGAGTAATATAACTTTAGAGCCAATTTCTCAAAAACGTATATAGTTTCTTATTATTGATTGTTGTTGCATGAATTTTGTTTCATATGCCATCCCTCAATTTTCGTACTCATTTCTATATTTCATAAAATTGTGGGCATCTGTTGATTCAACTGCATAACAATACTGCTTCATTATTATTTATTTTGAAGGGAACAAATTTACTTATAAATAAGGGGTTGTTTGTTAAGAACTTGCTTGCGCCCATTTTCTCTGATGTAAATTATTCTTATTTATTTAATTATAAATTTCACCAGAAAATACAAGTTACTTGTTCTTTTTGGACTGCCATTTCTTACACAAGGTTTTGTGCTTGACTAGCAATATATTGTTGATGGTATAAGGATAAACAAGTAGTTTACTTAAGTAATAGAGAAACATGTGAATCAATTTATGACTCCAAATATTCTTATCATAGGACTTTTTAGTGATGAAAGAGTTATCAAGATTCTTTGGATGATTTCCAAGGAATGATATCAAATTCAATTTCAAATTATTTTACTTAGAATTTTATTGATTTGCTTATGTTTTGATCTTCTATAGTTGAATAAGTGGGAAGGTAGTAAGTGAGGGAGGGACTTCTTACTTTTCCCTCTTGAATGACCACTTCTTGTAAGAGAGTAGACTTGATCTATCTGTTAAGCAATTGAGTCTGAGGAAACTATTTTTGGATTGCTAGTTGAAGACAATATTTCCCTTAATCTTGTGGCCTCATCGTTTTTCTTGGAAATTTATTAAATGAACTTTGGATGAGATGGTAGAGATCTATCCTCATAACCCATGAGCCTTTGTCAAGCAATAAAAGTGGTGAGATCATGTAAATTATTGCTAGTTAACTTGATAGAGATGATTTGAATCAACTTGTTGTCGTACATGAATGTGTTTTGCCGAAGATAAGGAATACATGGAAATTTTACTAATTTTAGAGGATTGGGTAGAAGAAAATTCAATGGTGTGTTGAGTTTTTCTCCACTGATATTGAGCACAAGAAAAAAAACACAGGAGGCCTATATGAGAAACCTTATATGTAAATCAGGATTAGTTCTAATGAGAAGCCCATGGACTATGGATATTCTTTAGCTCTGGTGTTATGTAAAAAGTAGACAAACACACTTGGGAACACATTACTCTTACTAGAAGAGCTTTGCTAATGGTGGAAAGGAGAAAGCCAATGATTAAAATGGATGTGAGTACAAATAAATAAAGAGGAGAATGGTATACTTTATTCCCTTGATTATATCAATTGATACTAATGCATGTACATTCCTTTAATGCCATTTTATATAGAGAATATAAATTAATATATGCATAATAACTAATATAATAAATATAATGAATATACATCAAAATGTTTGTTTTACAGGCTAGTTTTAATGAGTATTTTTCTAGGAGAATATAAATTAATATATGCATAATAACTAATATTATAAATATGATGAATATACATCAAAATGTTTGTTTTAGAGGCTAGTTTTAATGAGTATTTTTCTAGAGTCATTTGCAATGAATGCTGTTATCGAATAATTTCTAGAATATTGCTTTTCTTGAATATCCTTTTTTATTTTTTTGCTTAATATCATGCTCGGCTCTACAACTCAATCTTTATTGACACTTAGAAAGTAATCAAAGGGTTTATGTTGACAGGTCAATCAACAAAAGTCATACACTTCATATAGCTTCTAACATGGGAATATCAAGAGCATCAAGAGGTTGAAGTTCACACACTGATTCATGCACATGTCATTGTGAGCTAGGATATATGACTGAGAAAGGGATGAGGATTTGCAATTCAAAATGCAATCTTTTTAATTGAACTTGCTATTTTTTTCATTTTGGTGAGTGTTATATTCTTCGAAAGTAAAGAGGTAGGTTTGTAAAAGTTGGAACGTAACAAAAAACTTAGAAGCTAAAGCTTGCATACGCTAATGTTTAGGAACTGTTCCTAATTGTATCTCTTTCGTACGTCACCTTTATAGATGACATCACCAGAAAAGAATGAGTTTATTTTTTAAAAAATAAATATGATTCCTTTGATACTTTACAGTGGCAGAAGACCATGAAGAAAATTGTATTTGGTCCAAAAATATTAAAATTGAAGTATATTGGTCAAACCATATAGGAGAGTATGAGACAAAGGGGTTTAAGGATTTTTATGCATTTAATGTGATTTGTATGGTGAGAACGGTCCTATAAACACCATAGCAGAATGGGATTGCCAACCATATTAATAGAACCTTGAATAAAAAGACTAGAAGCATGAGGTTACATGCAAAATTACTTAGGCATTTTGGACAAATACTATAAAACCTGCAAGTTACAATTGAGGTCTCCCAATTCCTTCTATCTGGAGAAGTACTTAAACAAGCTCAAACTACAACAAGTAAGCTTTACTTATTTCAAATTATTTTATTTTATTTTTTTTATATGCATATAGATTCTTTTGATAAAAATAAGCTAGACCTTAAATAATGTAAATATTATTTCATTGGACATTAACCTGTGCACATATACACTGCCCATGGCATTCAAATCTTATTTGACTATCCCCAATCTCCATACCAGAAATGCTACAATTGGCCACATGCATATGTAAACTTGTAACCTACTCTAAATACTAACATTAGAATTACTTATTATGGGGGTTCGAAGACTATGGCTTGAGCTTTACCCAATACAATAACAGATAGAGACCATCAGCCCAAAAGCTTAAGCCATTTGGCAAAATAAACACTTTATTTGCAATGTTAGGCGATCACACATTTGTATTACTTTAAATTTAAATCATTATTATCATAAAGCATTTTCGCTCACTTGATAGTTAGTGTTTAGATTAAAGATGAAAGATACGTTTAGTCATTTCATTAAATCATTATTATCATAAAGCATTTCACACTACAACAAGATCATTAAATCATTCTTATCATAAAGCATTTTCGCCCTACTACTTCCCTCGTTATTGTTTATATTTTTTGGGCGATGAAAGATACGTTTAGTCATTTCATTAAATCATTATCTTGACTATCAAATACTTAAAAGTTACCCTGTCCATTGTATTTGCATTTCCATTTTCTACTATTTTCTTGGTTTCTCTGTTTTTTCATCTTTAGAATCAATAATTGTTCGTCACTATTTTCTAATTGTTAGTAATATAAGTTAAGATTTCCAACTTGTCATCATTATCTTCATTAGCTTTCTTTCAATTTTCTGAATTAACTTATAAATAACATTCCCTTTTTTATGTTGAGACATAAGCTGTTAGCTTTTGTATAACATTTTTTTGTATAGCTTCTATCCATGTTACCTTGAATCTTGCCCATATCTTTCTTTGTTATTTCATTTTAACTTTATTTATGGGTGCCTCTTCTACCTTTTGTTTTAAAAGCTCAAATTGTCAAAAGTCTATTTTTTAATAAATGTTTTACTCCTGAAATATTGCTCATATTTCATTAGTTTCCATCAAGTAATTGATGGGCCTTATCAATTTGTAAGTTGGGATTATTTATTCAGATGATTGATTCTATGATATCTTGCTCGTCAATTTGACTTTTGTTGCATCCTATTCTCCTTGATAAGTATTGTATAAATTGCAAGTAAATTCCTAAGGTCCTCTTTGACAACCCGATAGAGCGTAACTTTCCCAAATTTTTATTTTTTTGCGTGCTTATTACCCAAACAAAACGATCTATATATATATATATATACATATATGTATATATATACATATATGTATGTATATATATATGTATATATTTGTGTGTATATATATGTATATATTTGTGTGTGTGTGTGTGTAGAGAGAGAGAGATAGGTTATTACCTTTTAAGAGAATGTAAACTCTTATTCTTATAAATTTTTTTATTATACATCTTCTTTGAATATTGGGATTTACAGATCGTTTTCAAATATCAATGTTTATTTAGGGTCTGTTTGGAGCAGTTGTAGCTTCTTGAAGCAGCTGGGAAGTTGCTGTAAAAATTTTTTTTTAAAAAAAACTGTGACAGTCACCACACTTTAAAAGTTCTATCAATGTTTATTTAGGGTCTGTTTGGAGCAGTTGCAGCTTCTTGAAGCAGCTGGGAAGTTGCTGTAAAAAAATATTTTTTTTAAAAAAACTGTGACAGTCACCACACTTTAAAAGTTCAGGTTGAAAAAATCAGTTTTCTACCACATAAATTTCTAAAAAGCAACAAGAAAGCAGTTCTCCAATTTGAACTTTGGTGGCGTTTTAAAAGGCAAAACAGACAGAAAGCTGTCTCAAATAGACCCTTAATTTATTGAAAACTTTTTGAATTTCAATTAGTCAAATATATGGATGAATAATTTAAGATGTGTTCTGATAGTACTGTGTATCCTTCTAAATGGATGAATAATTTAAACTACATCATGCGTGTTTAGCATTTGATCTGAAGGACATAAGAAAGAAAGCATTATCTGTTTTATTTGCAGTATTTGCAAAATGCAACTCTGTTAATCAGTTCGCTTAGTTGGATGGACCATTTCATTCAACTTTTTCTTTTTATAAGTTTATTTTAATTATGTAAATGATTACAACCAATTCAGCTGACACATATTTAAAGGCTACTGTAGAATGTGTTGTTTCCTAGTTATTGTATCCAGGCTTGGTTGGACTCTCCCTTTTAAGCATTTCATTTTCTCTCTGAATTCTACATCCATAGAATCTGATTGCTTTTTACATGGATATAGTACCAAGTTATTGCTTTCTTTTCCTTCTATGTAATGTGCCCAATTTGTTTCCATTTCCCTGCCCATGGTGGCCGTTAAAGTTGACTAAAATTTGTTTCAGATGACGGATGGCCAAACTAGTGGAAAGAATTTCTCAAATAACTCCTCTAATAATGTTCCTAGCAATAATTTCAAACCAGAATTTAATGAACAAGGGAAAATGGAACCATCACATATGAGGCATGTCTTTTTACTAAACTGGTATAATGCCTTTAGAATCTGTCTAATATTCTAATTATATTTGCAGCTTCCAAAAATCTCAATCATGCAACTCAAGAAATGCTCGACAAAAGGAGAGAAGATTTGCCAAAAATAATCAAAGAGGTTAATTGCATTGCTACTTGAAAAATTTCTTTTTTTATGATATTTGATGCTAGAAAACATATTTCTACTTTATTTTACATTACGTGCATAATTAATTAATTTGATTTTGGAAAAAGCCCAAAATAATTTTCAGACAATTCTATAGCTAGTTTATCTCCTCGATTATGCAAAATTGAACCCAAATGATCTCTTATGGATTAAACTTAGATCAATTTTGTAGGGTTGAGGGGCTAAATTGGGATCAATTTTCTATTCCAATTTTTAACAATTCATACATGAGGATCATTTTGGATAAATTTTGTATAGCCAAGGGTTATATTGAAAGATGTATTACTCTAGGACTAAATTAGCCGCATACAATTAATCTGGGGATTATTTTAGGCTTTTTCTCAAGAAATTTCTATGCAAGGAAAGTAATAGCAACAGACCTGCACATATTAGTGATGGTTAACACTGCTGTTCTCTCTTAATAATAAATCCCTAGGTTTACATGATTTTCTTATAAATTTGTTTAGGGGCATTTACATATATATCACTTAATTCTTATGTATTTACATATCTAACACATAAACTTTAAATTTTACATACAGACGACCCAAATCTTTCATATCACATTAAAAATACCATTATTTTAACTCTTTAAAAGTGAAAGACACCTTTTCAAGCATGTATAAAGTTTTATGTATGTAAAAATTGAAGTTTAGTTGTTTGATATATAAATATATAGGAATTGAGTTGTATGTATGTAAATATTCCATTTTTTAAACAGATGTGGGCTTCTTGGTAGAAGAGTTCTCTAAACTCTTCTTACACAACTTTGGGAGTAAAGCTTCTCTTGCTTTACTTTCTTCTGTGCTGATTTGTCTCTTTCTTATTTTTTATAATCCTTTGGAGACAAAAGGATTTTAGGCACATCAGTTTTCTGGTGTTTACTAAATTCCACAAAGGTTTTAACTAATGAGCATCTTATTCATCCCTCATCGTTAGTAGCTATATCTTAGGATCAAAATCAGAGTTCTTGATTTTGTTTTTGCTGCTAATGAGCTTATTCATAGTTCCATCAAGAAAATGAAAGAATTTGTTGGCTTTAATTTGAATTAGAGAATACTTTCAATTGTTGCAATGTGGATATTTCTCTAACAAATTCATTAATTGGATAAATGACATTTTTTTAAATGCTTCTTCATTGAGTTTCGTTAGTGCTGCTTCTAGAAACAATTTTAAGTCTTCTTTGGTCTACCTTAGTTCTATGATGGGTAAAGTGAAATCTCTTCCTCCAATTTCGATTTAAGCTTATGAAAAATTCTCAATAAAATGAATATATTGGTTTTCCAATTATCTTTGAGGAAGTTTTTGGTTTAGTATTGTTGATAAAGCTCAAAAGTGGTTGGCTAATCCGATAAGCAACCTTCTTTTTAGCCAGAGATGCTTATTTTTTCGTCTACTATATTGTTTCATGTCTTTTTTTCTATAGGTTATTAAGAAATTTATTTCAATTAAAAATATGTAATGGGAAATTGGAGGAGATTGATCCTTTCCTTTCTAATTTGAAAGCGTGCCTAGACCAAAGAAGTTTGGTGGCTTGGAAATCATCAAGTTTAAATCTTTTAATCTAGCTCTTTCGGGAATAGGAATTTAGAATTCAATTGATAATCCAAATTCTTCTTTTACCAATTCAATCATTTAAGATATATGCATGGAGGATAGAAAGTTTACTGATTTTATTTTCCAAATATTCTCTTAACTCTCCTTTCATCAAAGCTGTACAAAAACTTACTGAAGCCTTTTTTTCCCATAGCATCTAATATGAAGCTTGTATGAATAGTCCCAAGTATTGAAAATATATGTGGATAGAAAATCTCTCTTTTAACAATTGTATTTGCAGAAATGTATGAAAATACCTTGAATGAAAATTGTTCTATCAAATCTGGGTTCAGGTTGTTATATAATAGAAGATGTGCTCGTTAGAATAGAATTATGCATATCATACTACCCCTTTAACTGTTGAGTTTTATTCTTTGCTTGTTGAGATTAAGACGGATACAGAACATAATAAGGTTTTTTTGGATGTTTAAGGATGACAAATTTATTCTCAAAAGTTGTTATACCTTTCTTGTGATGTTCTATGGAATTCAATTCCTCTAGATTTTTTTCTCTTATGCTAGCTTCATTACAACAGGAAGTTGTGCAAATTTACTTCTTCAAACATGGTATTATTCAACCTATGGGTTGATGCATGTGTAAATCTTACCTAGGAGGTGAGGGTGTTCTTTAATTGTTGTGTAACAAGTAAGAATTAGACAAGAATATTATAATTTTTTATTTTTAGAATTTTTCGTTAAGGTTTTTATTTTTGTTCACTAATTGAGGCACTAGCATATGAAGGAAATCCGTAAAGATCTATGATTACCATTCCTCTTAGCTGCTCTTTGGTGATTGGGAGTGAAATAAAAAACATTACTTTAAATTACACTTTCAGAGAGATGAAGTTTTTTGGTTCATTATCAATATCAAGGTCTTCTTTTTGGATTGAGGGTAAAGTTACTTCTCATGTCAATATCGCCATTGGTATTAGTACTCTATCATCTGCCACACTCTAGGAACCAGACGTCTAACTTGCTTTCAAAAATTTAAATTTGAGGAAAAAAAAAATTATTAAAGGAAAAAAATATGGATTACATTCATGATAACTACAAGTCAAATTTAAGTTATTCTGGCCACCTCAAAATATTATCAATTTTAATGTGAAGATTTTGATTCTTTCATTCGACAATCCACAAAGTTTTCAAATACACAGAATTGCAGAGGTTCAAACCACAAGCAACAAATTTCTTGCTTCAATTATTTTTTAATTGAATTCTTCAAAATCACAGTGCATGATACTAAATACCATAGACCACCACATTAATCTACTGGACTTGAAAAGATATAGTTCCAATGAATTGAATTTTTGATGCCTAACCCAATAAAAGTCTTCCAAACCTTCTCAACCTTTTCTGTGAATAAATCTAAAGTAAATCAAGATTGAAATATGTCAAACAGATAAACTTCCTAAAACTAGGAAATATCTTTCTCGAATAATGCAACTCTTTTCGGTCATTATCATTGGCATGTTCACAAAACATAAACTTCAAATAAAATTCCCGACTAATGAAACAAAATTTATGAATTGTCTAGGAAATATCTTTCTCGAATAATGCAACTCTTTTTGGTCATTATCATTGGCATGCTCACAAAACATAAACATTAAATAAAATTCCTGACTAATGAAACAAAATTTATGAACTGCATAAAAATTAAAGCTTAATGTGATGTTTTTGACAAGAAAATAAGACATGTCTTCAATGAATTTTCTAGCTTGGACAAACTCAAATGTATAATTCAGCATTTGATACTCATCAAGCAAACCTAAACATGCATTTTGAGCCTTTTCTGAGTAATCAGTGAATCATCATAGTTAGATTTGTCTTTCTAGTTAATAATATATTTTTGAAATGCATCATCAATTATGGAGTCAATCTCATTATGTAGAATATCTTAAGGAAGCATTTAGAATAGGAATGGATGTGGATTCACAAGGAAGAGGTAGAAAAGATTAGAATCTAAGGAATTGATAGTAGCTTCATGAAATCATGCCAAATTAGACACATTGAAAACTAGATTTATACTGTATTTTTTGTCAATTTCAACTTGTAGGAATTAGTTTCGATGTATTGCATAATATTAAATAATTTCAACTTGTAGGAATTAGGAATTAGTTTCGATGTATTCCCACTTTGTTTTGATTCAGCCATTTTTTGATTTAAACCATCATTATCTCTTCAAAAAGCTTAAATTTCACACATCCCTCTTTAACATTACCAGAAAGTTTATAATTTTTGTAGTTAGTAGCTATTTTTTGTGATTATCCTTATGTAGATCTAGTATATGTTATGCAAATGATTGTGCAAATACACTACACATAGATTTTCAATTTCTCAATATTCAAGGTAAACTTAATACAATGTTCATACTAATATCCTCTAAGCCTTAATTTGGATTTTGTAGAGGTTTATATAGCCTGGACTTTGTCCATCCTCAACAAGCTAATAAGTCTCATTTAAAAATAATTCACACTTCATCTCTTTTCAGACTAAGCAAAGTATATATATTTTCAGCTATATATAAGTTTTATTACTCTTAAGAGTCAAAATATAATTTAATAGTGAATTAGGGTAAAATAAATAAGCTTTAATGTTGTATTCTTAGTTGAGCAAATATAAGTCATTGTATGTGTTTTGCTAAATCTCAACGTAAGTCTTACAAGCAACATATTTCTCTTTTATATAATCAAAATTAGTCTACTTAACCTGATTGATATGTAAGAAAACAAAAACTCTATTTTTTTAATTTTTTTTTATTAAAGTATCAACATAAATAGTAACAACTCCATATTATTAAAAGTCAAAAATATATTGTTGTTGAAACTATCTATTATTTAGCATGTCAGAAATTTTTTTGAGAACTCGGGATATTTCAGATATTGATAGTTAAAATATAACACATTTCGTAGATAATGAATAATTTCTCTAATATCGAAGAGCTTGTAAAATAAAATAGAGTTTTCTATCCTAATTTGTGTATTCTCATTGAATTTCTCATTAAAGAATATTTTGAGATGCCCCACCTGACTCAACACTCTTCTAATACCTACTCTATATGCATTCCCATACTATGTGTATTCTCATTGAATTTCTCATTAGAAACTATCATTAGAAACCTCAAATACTTTATTAAAATTAAAAAATAGAAGTAAATGTGCATCAATAAGTCTAGTCTCTATTCGATTTTAGTAAAAGCATGATCGACATATTTAATTCCCTTGAATTGTCTGCATTAACATTACTAAATTTTTTTATTAACTGTTTATAAAAAATAAATAGAATGAAAACTCTAAATATAATGTCTATTTGTAGGCTTTGGCTAATCAATAATTACTTTAACCTTATTAGAATCAATAG